GAGCAATAGGGAAGAAGGAGGTGGACTGGGGAAGTGAAAGTAGGGAACCCAAGAGGTGAGCGGGGGAAGTGAGACAGTAGCAAGACAGGAGAGGGTGAGGAATGAGACAGTAGGAAGACGGGACGAGGACAAAAGAAGTGAAACAGTAGGAAGACGTGGGGGGTTGGGATGTGAGACAGTAGAAGACAGGAGGAACAGGAAGGGGAAGTAGAAGACGGTGGGGGTCTGGGGAAGTGAGTCAATAATGAAGACAGGAGAAGGACTGGGAAGTGAGACGTGGGGGAGACAGGAGGACTTGGGGATGAACAGTGGAAACGAAGGAAAACTGGGGAAGTGAGACAGGGAAGAAGGAGGACGGGGAAGCGAACAGTGGGGAAGACAAAAAGAGGATTGGAGAATTGAGCAGAGGGAAGACGGGATTACTGGGGATGCAAAAAGGGGGGAAGCGTATGAGACACAAGTGAGGCATAGGGAAGACAGGAGGAGGATGTGGAGGGAAACAGAGGAAGGCTGATGGGGGCTGGGGAAGTGAGACGGGGGAAAGAAGGAGGAGACGGGGAAAGTGAGGCGTGGGGAAGAAGGAAGAGAAAGGGGGGAAGTGAGACAGTAGGAAAACAAAAGGATGACGGGGGAAGTGAGACATTTGGGAAACAGGAGGTGGACTGGGGAAGTAGAAGTAGGGAGACAGGATGAGGGGGGGAAGTGAGAGAGTAGGGAAACAGGAGGAGGATGGTTAAGTGAGACATAGGGATTCGGAGGGGGATTGGGAAGTGAGAAGTAGGAAGACGGAAAAACATGGGGAAACTAAGACAGAGGGGGGCTTGAGGAGGACTTGGGAAATGGACAGCGTTAAGACAGGATGAGGACTTTGGGAAGTGGGGGAAAGTTGGGAAACGGGGGGGAAGGGGAAATTTAGACGTAGGGAAGACAGGAGGAGGACTGGGGAATGAGACTACGGGATCGGAGGAGGATGGGGAAGTGAGACAGAAAGGAATCCAGGGGGAGGATGGGGAAGTGAGACAGTAAGAAAGGGACGGACGAAGATGCGGAATGGAAAATGGGGGGAAGACTGGAGGGGGGACTGGGAAGTGAGAAAAGGGGGGAAGACAGGAAGATGAAAGGGAAAGTGAGAGAGTAGGAAGACAGGATGGGGACTGAGCAAGTAACAGTGGGAAAGACGGGGAAAGGATTTGGGGAAAGTGAGACATAAGTAAGCGGCGAAGACGGGGGAAGTGAAAAATAGGGAAGTGGAGGGGACGGGGGGAAGGGACAGTGGGGGAAACAGGAGGAGGATGGGGAAGTGAGACGTCGGGAAGAGTTGAGGAGGACTGACAAAGTGAGAAGGGGAAAGACAGGGACTGGCGAAGGGGGAGACGTGGGAAGACGGGAGGAATATGGAAGTAGACAGTGGGGAAGACAGGGGGAAATGGGGAGGGGAACAGTTGGAAGACGGGATGAGGATACTGAAGTTAGCAGTAGGAAGGGGGAGGAACTGGGGAAGTGAGACGCAAAGACACGGGGATGGGGAATGAAAGTAGGAAAGACGGGAAAAGAGAACGGGGGAAGTGAGACAGTGGGAAAACAGAAGGAGGACGGGGGAAAGTGAGACAGTTGGAAGAGAGGAGGGGGGACTGGGGAAGTGAGAAAAGGAAGACGGGGGGCGGGGGAAGTGGGGACAGTGGGGAAAGACAGGAGGGGGATGGTGAAGTGAGACAGTTGCAATTCAGAGGAGGACGGGGGAAAGTGAGACAGTGGGAAACAGGAAGGGGGACTAAGGAAGTGAAAAGTGGGAAAGACAGGGGAGGACTTGGATAGAAGCAGTATGAAGCAGGAGGTGGAGGGGGAAGTGAGACAGTGGGGAAAGAAGGAAGAGATTGGAAGTGAGACAGTTTTTAAAGAAGGAGGAGGATGGGAAGGAAAAAGTAGGAAACAGGAGGAGGATGAGGAAGTGAGACGTGGGAAAGACGGAGGTGGGCTCGAAAAGTGAACAGTAGGGAAGACGGGAAGAAGGACGGGGGAAGTGAGACAGTAGGAAGACAGGGGAGGACGGGGAAGTGAGACAGTAGGAAAAGGGGGGACTGGGGAAATGAGACAGTAGGAAGACAGGAAGGGCTGGTGAAGTGAGACAGTAGAAAGACGGAGGTTCCCGGGGAAGTGGATAAAAAGGGAAAGCAAAGAGGATGGGGAAGTGAGACAGTAGGGAAGCCCGGAGGGGATGGGGAAGTGAGACAGTGGGAAAACAGGATGGGGACGGGGGAAGTGAGACATGGGGAAAGACAGGAAGGGGACTGGGAAGTAGACAGCATGGAAGACGGAAGAGGTTTTGGAAGTGGACAGTGGGAAGCAGGAGGGGGACGGGGAAGTGAGACAGTAGGGAAGACAGGAAGAGGACGGGGAAGGAACAGCATGGAAGACGGGAAAGGGCTGGGGAAGTGAGACAGTAGGAAGACGGGAGGGGACGGGGGAAATGGACGTGGGAAGACAGGAGGACGGGGAAGTGAGACAGTAGGAAGTCAGGAGATCTGGGGAAGTGAGACAGTGTGACGCAGAAGAGGAGGGGAAGTGAGGCAGTGGGAAGACAGGAGGAGGAGGGGAAAATGGGAAAAGGGAAAGGGGACAGGAGGAGGGAAAGAGAGCAGTGGGAAGACAGGAGGGGCCCTGGGGAAGTAAAGACAGTGGGGAAGAAGGAAGAGGACGGGGGAAGTGACCCCATTTGAGAAGACAGGAGGAGGACGGGGGAAAGTTTACAGAGGAAGCGGGAAAACGGGGGAGTGAGATAGTGGGGAAGGGGGGGGAGGACGGGGAAGTGAAACAGAAAGGAAGAAGGAAAGGATGGTGAAGTGAGACAGTATGGAAGACGGGGAAAAATGGGGAAGGGGGGACAGTAGGAAGAAGTTGGATGGGGAAGTGAAACAGTAATTAAGACGGGAAAAGGGGGGACTGGTAAAGTGAGACAGTAGGGAAGACAGAGGAGGCGGGGGAAGTGAGACAGTACGAAGACGGAAAAGGGACGGGGAAAGTGACCCATTTGAAAAAGAAGGAGGAGGACTGGGGAAGTTAGACAGTAGGAAGACAGGAAAACTGGGGAGTGGACAGTGGGGAAGCAGGGGAGGGGGAAGTAAAACAGTAAGGGAAACAGGAAGGGGAAAAGGTAAAGTGAGACAGTGGGAAGACAGGAGGAGGAGGGGGAAAGTGAAACAAAAGGAAGACGGGAAGGGAGGGGGAAGTTAGACAGTATGGAAGAAGGGAACGGGGGGAAGTGAGACAGTAGGGAAACGGAGGTTGGGGAAGTGAAACAGTAAGGAAGAAGGAAGAGGACTGGTAAAGTGGACACTTGGGAAGACAGGAAGGGACTTGGAAGTGAGACGTATAAAGGCAGGAAGAGGACTGGGGAAGTGAGACAGTAGGGAAGACAGGAGGAGGACTGGAGAAGTGAGACAGTAGGGAAGACAGGAGGAGGACTGGAGAAGTGAAACAGTAAGGAAGACAGGAAGAGGACTGGGGAAGTTAGACAGTATGGAAGACAGGAGAACTGGGGAAGTGAGACAGTAGGGAAGACAGGAGGTCTGGGGAAGTGAAACAGTAAGGAAGACAGGAAGAGGACTGGTGAAGTGAGACACTTGGGAAGACAGGAAGAGGACTTGGGAAGTGAGACAGTATGAAAGGCAGGAAGAGGACTGGGGAAGTGAGACAGTAGGGAAAACAGGAGGAGGACTGGGGAAGTGAGACAGTAGGGAAGACAGGAGGAGGACTGGAGAAGTGAGACAGTAGGGAAGACAGGAGGAGGACTGGAGAAGTGAGACAGTAGGGAAGACAGGAGGAGGACTGGAGAAGTGAAACAGTAGGGAAGACAGGACGAGGACTGGAGGGAGGAAGACAGTAGGGAAGACGGGATGAGTACTGAGGAAGTGAGACAGTAGGGAAGACAGGAGGACTGGGGAAGTGAGTCAGTAGGGAAGACAGGAGGAGGACTGGAGAAGTGAGACAGTAGGGAAGACAGGAGGACTGGAGAAGTGAGACAGTAGGGAAAACAGGAGGACTGGAGAAGTGAGACAGTAGTGAAGACAGAAAAAAGACCACAAACGGAGTACAGTCTAGGTGGCGTCACTCAAGGAATCGTTTATGGCCCTCTACACAGTATACGTCAGGCCTTTATTGGAGTACACAGCGCCAGTCTGGAGCCCACACCTAGCCAAGCACATACGAAAATTTGAGAATGTGCAAAGCTTTGCAACAAAACTAGTCCCTGAGCTAAGGGGCATGTCCTACAAGAAGAGGTTAAGGGAAATCGACCTTACGACACTGTAGGACAGGGGAGATAGGTGGGATATGATAACGACATATAAAATTCCGAGAGGAATTGACAAGGTGGATAGAGACAGGATGTTCCAGAGATGGGACACAGCAACAAGGAGTCAAAATTGGAAGTTGAAGACTGAAATTAACCACAAGGATGCTAGGAAGTATTTCATCAGTCTCAGAGTTGTCAGGAAGTGGAATAGTCTGGGAAGTGATGTAGTGGAGGCAGTATCCAAACACAGCTTTAAGAAGAGGTATGATAAAACTGATGGTGCATGAAGAGTGAACTAGCACCGACCTGTGAAGAGGCGGGTCCAGGAGCTATGAATCGACCTCTGAAACCACAATTAGATGAGCACATAGTATTTTCGACAGACGGGAAACAGAAACACGAGGACACAGATGCAAGTTGACAACACAGATGAGAAACTTGGATGTTAGGAAGTATTTCTTCCTTCACGTAGTAGTCAAGAAGCGAAGCAACATGTAAAGTGGAACAGCAGAGGCAGAATACATGCATATCTTTAAGAAGAGGTACGATAAACTCTCGAAACCAGGAGAGAATTAATCCAACAGCAGCCTACGAAGAGGCGGTGCAAGAAGCTATGCAATCACACAAAGGAAAATAAACATAGATATACTCTCTCACTCTCTCACTCTCTCTCTCTATAGCTTGTCCTTGATGACAAGGCTGGTATTACCTGTATAACATTGACGTACGAAGGAGAGGTGAGTCGACTCCAGGTTGCTTCAGGACCTGGACACAGGCTCCAGTTCTTCTCAATTCTCACTGAGCCTTTCAAGATGTTGGTCATGTTTGTCAAGCCCACCTGCAGAGAGTAACCATAGTTAACAGTGACACCTGCAGAGAGTAACCATAGTTAACAGTGACACCTGCAGAGAGTAACCATAGTTAACAGTGACACCTGCAGAGAGTAACCATAGTTAACAGTGACACCTGCAGAGAGTAACCATAGTTAACAGTGACACCTGCAGAGAGTAACCATAGTTAACAGTGACACCTGCAGAGAGTAACCATAGTTAACAGTGACACCTGCAGAGAGTAACCATAGTTAACAGTGACACCTGCAGAGAGTAACCATAGTTAACAGTGACACCTGCAGAGAGTAACCATAGTTAACAGTGACACCTGCAGAGAGTAACCATAGTTAACAGTGACACCTGCAGAGAGTAACCATAGTTAACAGTGACACCTGCAGAGAGTAACCATAGTTAACAGTGACACACTGCAGAGAGTAACCATAGTTAACAGTGACACCTGCAGAGAGTAACCATAGTTAACAGTGACACCTGCAGAGAGTAACCATAGTTAACAGGGACACCTGCAGAGAGTAACCATAGTTAACAGGGACACCTGCAGAGAGTAACCATAGTTAACAGTGACACCTGCAGAGAGTAACCATAGTTAACAGTGACACCTGCAGAGAGTAACCCTAGTTAACAGTGACACCTGCAGAGAGTAACCATAGTTAACAGTGACACCTGCAGAGAGTAACCATAGTTAACAGTGACACCTGCAGAGAGTAACCATAGTTAACAGTGACACCTGCAGAGAGTAACCATAGTTAACAGTGACACCTGCAGAGAGTAACCATAGTTAACAGTGACACCTGCAGAGAGTAACCATAGTTATCAGTGACACCTACAGAGAGTAACCATAGTTAACAGTGACACCTGCAGAGAGTAACCATAATTAACAGTGACACCTGCAGAGAGTAACCATAGTTAACAGTGACACCTGCAGAGAGTAACCATAATTAACAGTGACACCTGCAGAGAGTAACCATAGTTAACAGTGACACCTGCAGAGAGTAACCATAGTTAACAGTGACACCTGCAGAGAGTAACCATAGTTAACAGTGACACCTGCAGAGAGTAACCATAGTTAACAGTGAAACCTGCAGAGAGTAACCATAATTAACAGTGACATCTGCAGAGAGTAACCATAGTTAACAGTGACACCTGCAGAGAGTAACCATAGTTAACAGTGACACCTGCAGAGAGTAACCATAGTTAACAGTGACACCTGCAGAGAGTAACCATAGTTAACAGTGACACCTGCAGAGAGTAACCATAGTTAACAGTGACACCTGCAGAGAGTAACCATAGTTAACAGTGACACCTGCAGAGAGTAACCATAGTTAACAGGGACACCTGCAGAGAGTAACCATAGTTAACAGTGAAACCTGCAGAGAGTAACCATAATTAACAGTGACATCTGCAGAGAGTAACCATAGTTAACAGTGACACCTGCAGAGAGTAACCATAGTTAACAGTGACACCTGCAGAGAGTAACCATAGTTAACAGTGACACCTGCAGAGAGTAACCATAGTTAACAGTGACACCTGCAGAGAATAACCATAGTTAACAGTGAAACCTGCAGAGAGTAACCATAATTAACAGTGACATCTGCAGAGAGTAACCATAGTTAACAGTGAAACCTGCAGAGAGTAACCATAGTTAACAGTGACACCTGCAGAGAGTAACCATAGTTAACAGTGACACCTGCAGAGAGTAACCATGGTTATCAGTGAAACCTGCAGAGAGTAACCATAATTAACAGTGACATCTGCAGAGTAACCATAGTTAACAGTGACACCTGCAGAGAGTAACCATAGTTAACAGTGACACCTGCAGAGAGTAACCATAGTTAACAGTGGCACCTGCAGAGAGTACCCATAGTTAACAGTGACACCTGCAGAAAGTAACCATAGTTAACAGTGACACCTGCAGAGAGTAACCATAGTTAACAGTGACACTTGCAGAGAGTAACCATAGTTAGCAGTGACACATGCAGAGAGTAACCATAGTTAACAGGGACACCTGCACAGAGTAACCATAGTTAACAGGGACACCTGCAAAGAGTAACCATAGTTAACAGTGACACCTGCAGAGAGTAACCATAGTTAACAGGGACACCTGCAGAGAGTAACCATAGTTATCAGGGACACCTGCAGAGAGTAACCATAGTTAACAGTGACCCTGCAAAAGAGAAAAATAGTTAACAGTGACACCTGCAGAGAGTAACCATAGTTAACAGTGACACCTGCAAAGAGTAACCATAGTTAACAGTGACACCTGCAGAGAGTAACCATAGTTAACAGTGACACCTGCAGAGAGTAACCATAGTTTTAACAGTGGCACCTGCAGGAGAGTAACCATAGTTAACAGTGACACCTGCAAAGAGTAACCATAATTAACAGTGACACCTGCAGAGAGTAACCATAGTTAACAGGGACTCCTGCAGAGAGTAACCATAGTTAACAGTGACAGCTGCAGAGTGTAACCATAGTTAACAGGGACACCTGCAGAGAGTAACCATAGTTAACAGTGGCACCTGCAGAGAGTAACCATTGTTATCAGTGACACCTGCAGAGAGTAACCATAGTTAACAGTGACACCTGCAGAGAGTAACCATAGTTAACAGGGACACCTGCAGAGAGTAACCATAGTTAACAGTGACACCTGCCGAGAGTAACCATAGTTAACAGTGACACCTGCCGAGAGTAACCATAGTTAACAGTGACACCTGCAGAGAGTAACCATAGTTAACAGTGACACCTGCAGAGAGTAACCATAGTTAACAGTGACACCTGCATAGAGTAACCATAGTTAACAGTGGAACCTGCAGAGAGTAACTATAGTTATCAGTGACACCTGCAGAGAGTAACCATAGTTAACAGGGACACCTGCAGAGAGTAACCATAGTTAACAGTGACACCTGCCGAGAGTAACCATAGTTAACAGTGACACCTGCCGAGAGTAACCATAGTTAACAGTGAAACCTGCAGAGAGTAACCATAGTTAACAGTGACACCTGCCGAGAGTAACCATAGTTAACAGGGACACCTGCAGAGAGTAACCATAGTTAACAGTGACACCTGCCGAGAGTAACCATAGTTAACAGGGACACCTGCAGAGAGTAACCATAGTTAACAGTGACACCTGCCGAGAGTAACCATAGTTAACAGTGACACCTGCAGAGAGTAACCATAGTTAACAGTGACACCTGCCGAGAGTAACCATAGTTAACAGTGACACCTGCCGAGAGTAACCATAGTTAACAGTGACACCTGCCGAGAGTAACCATAGTTAACAGTGACACCTGCGGAGAGTAACCATAGTTAACAGTGACACCTGCCGAGAGTAACCATAGTTAACAGGGACATCTGAGAGGCCATCATGATCAATCAAAAGTACCAGCTTAGCAGACAGAGACCAACACAATAATAGAATATTACGCGTCACACATAATAATAATAATAATAATAATAATAATAATAATAATAATAATAATAATAATAATAATTATTATTATTATTATTATTATTATTATTATAATAATAATAATTTACAAGAATGGTATATAATACCGACAAGATGAAATTAAGACACATGTGCAACATCTGGGTATCCATATTGTAGACGTTTCGCCATCCAGTGGCTTTATCAATACAAATTCCAGGACATAACTTGAGGACAGTAGGACTATATACAGAAGATGAGGTAATCAGTCCCTCAACCTTGGAGTTGGTGCGAGGAGCACCGTAGTCGTGGAGATTCTGAAGCAGAAGCAAGGAGCCTGACGCTTATATAGTAACGTCAGGTGTAGCAGACGAGGACATAGTCACTGGTGGGCGGGATTCCCCAGTGGAAGTAGGTCCTGATTACCTCATTTTCTGTATATAGTCCTACTGTCTTCAAGTTATGTCCTGGAATTTGTATTGATAAAGCCACTGAATGGCGAAACGTCTACAATGAAGATACCCAGATGTTGCACATGTGTCTTAATTTCAATAATAATAATAATAATAATAATAATAATAATAATAATAATAATAATAATAATAATAATAATAATAATAACATTTTTTTCTGCAGGTACATATACAAGGTATACAGGCCTAGCTGACATCAGTGACGTAATATTATATAGAAAGCCGCTTGTTATGTTCAGCTTTTCCGGCAAATTTGGTCAGTTTTGTCCCAGGATGCGACCCTGTTGCGGCCCCCTACCAAACTAGCGGTTAAATAGTTAACCTGCCGGCCGGCAGTACCACTGGGTACGTCATCAAACCCATTGTGGGGACTGCTGAACCGGCCTTAGAGCAATAGGTACCTGAACACCTAATCGTACACATCTACTGGCTTTAGAAGCAGTAGGTACCTGAACACCTCACGGTACACATCTACTGGCTTTAGAAGCAGTAAGTACCTGAACACCTCACAGTACGCATCTACGCTGTAGTTACCAGAACACCTAATCGTACACATCTACTGGCAGTAGAGTATTCTACTGGCGTTAGAGGAAGCGCTCACCGCAGCTCACTGAGTCTGATGGCCTCAGTTACTTGACGGTCGCATTCAGTGAGCTTGCAACATGGTGTTCTGCTAGTAATTCACCGGACCACCTTGCGGTGTGTCAATTGGTCTTGAAGGCGGTAGATAGTACTCACCAGACCATCTTACGGTGTACTTCTACCGGCCTTGGAGAGTATTTACAGGACTACCGGTGATGTCTGCGGACTCACCGCCTACGCTGGTCAACTGTGGGCCGGAGTCAACTGATGCTGTTTTAGTGGGACATTACACGAAGAAAAGGTTGGAGTGTTACACTGAACTGGGCTAGGACCGTAGTGTGACACTTAGGGAAGTGTGATGGAGTGGAACAATGAGATATACTACAGGACCGTAGTGGAACACTGAGAAGAAAAGGGTGTCGTGTGACACTGAAGATGGTCAGGTTGTAGTGTACACTGAATAGTGTCATGTGACTGACCTCGAGAAAGACGCTGTGGGTGATAGTGT